CATAGTACAGTAGATGATCATTTTCATGTGCTGTTGACTTTGGCTTATTATTTTGTGGAGAATTTCTACATTCATATTCACCAGGGATATTGGCTTGTCATATTCCTTGTTATTAATAATTTGTTTTTCTTTGGTATCAGTTAATGATGGCTTCACAAAATGAGGTTTGATATATTCCCTCTTTCCCAGTTTTTTTGTAAGAGTTTTAGAAGCATTAGAATAAACTTTTTAAATGTTTGCTAGAATTTACCAATGAAGTCTTCAGATCTTGGACTTTTCTTTGTTAGTAAGTTTTTTGGTAACTGGTTAATTGTCCTTATTGTTCAGATTTTCTGTTTTTGCATAATTTGATTATGAAATGACAAATTTATCCATTTTCCCCAATTCAATTTTTTGGCATAGAATTGTTCATGATGTATTATATTTTCATAGCAGTATTTATAACATCTCCTGTTTTACTTCAGATTTTATTTGAATTTTCACTGTTTTTTTCTTACTTAGTCTAGTTAATGTTTTGTCATTTTTATCTTTTCAAAGGAACTCATAAATTCACTATCTTTTCTTTTGTTTTTCTAGTCTCTATTTCTACTCTGATGTGTATTGTATTTCCTTTTTATTCTGACCTTGGACTTAGTTCATTCTTTTTCTGATTGTTTGAGGAGTTCATCATGACCTGAAGATTAAAAAATTTTTTAAATAACATGTGGCACCCTAAAGAGTATCTCAAAACATGGCACCTTGCTTCATCAGAATAAGCAGTTAAAAAGCACAGTATCAAGAGAGAATGCCAGCAAGTTGGAAGTCAGTTTTTGAAATCTAATCATAGAAATGACATCCTGTTGTTTTTGCTGTATTTCTTTATTAGAAGCAGTTACATAGAACTAGCCTGTATTCAAGGATAGGGGAATATATAGGCACATAAATACCAGGACTTAGGCATGTTGAAACCAATGCCAAAAGCTACAAAATTAAGAATAGAAGTAGCATATGATCCAGTAGTTCTACTTCTAGTTGTATGTATATCTGAAGAGCGTGAAATCAGGATTTTGTTCATTGTAGTATTATTAGCAATAGTCAAGATTTGGGAATAATTTTTTTTTTTGTCTTTTTCATTTTTATCGGTACTGGGGATTGAACTCATGACCACCTGCTTGCAAGGCAGGTGCTTATGCTGCTGAGCTAAATCCCCAGCCCCCAAGATTTGGGAATAATTTTTTCACCAATAAACAGATAAAGAAGTAGAATGTGATTCAGCATTAAAGAAGAGAATCCTGCCATTTGCAACATGGTTGAACCTGGACGACATGTGTGCTAAGGAAAGTAAGCTAGGCACAGAAATAAAAATACAACACGATCTCACTTATACGTGAAGCCTAAAAGTCTTATTCATAGAAGCTGAGAGTGGAATGATGTTTGCTGAAGGTGGAGAGTGAGTGAAGGCAATGGAGAAATCTGTCAAGGGTGTGAAGTTTCAGTCACGTAGGGTAAATCTAGAGGTCTAATACACAGCACGAGGACTATTCTTAGCTAATACTGTGTTGTGTGCTTAAAGTTGCTGAGATCTTAAATAGACATTACAGTCAAAAAATGGTAACTAAGAGGTGATGGTATGTTTATTAGCTTCACTGTAATATGTATGTATGTATATATGCACATATATATGAAAATATCGAATTGTATTTCAATAAAGCTGTTATTTAAGAAAAAGCTAAAAAATACTCAGAAAGAATCCTTTGGATTATTAAATGTGTTAGCTAAGATGATAAAGTTTCTCTGATGTCTACATAATTTTTGGATTTTCTTCTCATTGTGTGGCACTTGAACTGCTTTAGTTGTTATAGGCTGCTAAACATAACTTTCATTTCATAAACATAGCTTTCATTTCTCAAATATACATGTCATTCAACTCCTTGAATTTAAATGGAAAAATAACTACTTATTCATTTTCATTCTTCAGTGGATACCAAGCTATTTGGAGGTAGATATAATAGGCACATGTTTAAATTATGTCTCTAAACCCTAAATAATATTGTGATTGGAAAAACCTCATGTAAGCTTCTTGAATGAATATGTGAAATTGGACCTAAAGATTACAAGACACTACTGGAAATGGGGACTTAATTTTATTACTAATATTTGTGTGGTCACTAATAATTTACTTATCTCAGTATTCTTTTTAGATTAAAAGGTTTGGGTAGAAACAATTCTTCTATCTGTTTTATTTTTCATAAGTGATACATGACTTTTGATTTAACAATTTTGTTTCAAAGGATTTTATCATGAGGTCACAAAAATGATTTTATATAGCTGTACATATAGTAGTAAAAATAAATGTTTTCTCACTTATCTTTAACAAGTTACACAAACTATGTCATTATTAAGGAAAAGGATGTGTATGATCTGTTGTGCAATATTGTTTATGATATGTGAACTCCAAAAATAATAAAATTTTGCATATAAATCCAGTGATTTTTAGGAAAAGTAATGAAGTACATGGGTATTTGTGTAATACGAGTATACATAAAACATTTTCTGGGAGTATACAAGGTAAATAATTTGTTTTTCTGAATGAATTATGTTAATAGATTATTTTTACTTTTAAATCATTCTGTATTTTCAAATTATACTTTATGGCAAAATTTACATATTTTCCATCTTAACCAATTTTAATTATGCAGTTCATAGTGTTATATGTATTCATGTTTTAATGTAGCTGGTGTCTAGAACTCTTCATTTTGCAGAACTGAACTTAAAAACAAGTTCTTGGAAACCACTTGGAAACTACTACTTTTTGGCTTCTAGTAATCAAACTCAATCTCGTGCATGCCAGGCAGGCGCGGTGCCACTGAGTTATATCCTCAGCCCTCTGCTTGATTTTTTATTTGTTTATTTTTATTTCAGCTTACTTAGTACATATATGTAGTCCCTGATGTTTGTATTCCATGTGGAAAGTTGGTTCATGTACATAGCACATCTTAATTGCTTTTTTCTCCCCTTTCCCTTCCCTGACACCATCTTTTTTTTTTTTTGTCTTTTTCCTTTTTATCGGTACCGGGGATCGAACTCACGACTGCCTGCTTGCAGGGCAGACGCTTATGCCGCTGAGCTAAATCTCCAGCCCCTAGATTTCTCATTAAGAGAAACAATGTGAGACTTCAGCTTGTGTGTCTAATTTAATTCACTTAATATGATGGTCTGATGGTGCATCTGTTTTTCTATTAATGACTCAAGTTTATCCTTCTTTGTGGCACAGTAATACCCCATTATATATAAGTACCACATTTTTTTTTTATCCATTCATCTGTTGATGGATATGTGGGCTGCTTTCAGGATTTAGCTATTACAAATTGTGCTGCTACAAATATGGATATGTATGTATCACTGTAATGTGATATCTTTACTCTTTTGGGAGTATATCTAGAAAAGGAATGGATAGGTGGAATGGAATTTGATGGAATTTGTAGTTTTAGTTTTTGAGGACTCCATAGTAATTTGTAAAAATGAATGCAGAACTTTAATATTATTTTCTATTATAGCATGTACTGTATTCATTTTGGATACAATGGTAATTTGTTGTGGTATTAGGGTTGATTACTAGGATGAGTTAGGAGCTTTTTGCTGAAGAGTAGAGTTTTTTTTGTACCAGGGATCGAACTCATGACCTTGCACTTGCCAGGGAGGCATTACTGCCACTGAGCTAAACCCCCAGCCCATGAGTAGAGTTTTTAGTGAAGTACTGTGACTGTCATAGCAGATATATCTAGTTCTTTTAAAGTTTTCTACCTGAAAAATTGTTGTTCACTAGAAATTAAATGCATAAGACTTATCAGTCTTAGTAAATTAAACTGCTAATTTTTGATAGCACTTTTGCTTCAGAATTGATTAAATAATTAAAATTGAATTTAGCTGTCCATGAAATTAATCTGCTGTAAGTGTGCAATCAGTGATTTTAGTAAATCTACTGAGTTGTATAACAATCACATCAACCCACTTTGGACATTCTCATCATTACAGTAAGGGTCCTCACTACCAGATCTTTCTTGTCTCTTTGTCTAACACAGATTTGGTGGCAAGAGATTTGTTTATAATGCTGGGTATGTTGGTGCACGGCTGTAATCCCAGGAGGATCCTCCTGAGGCAGAAGAATTGCTGCAAGTTTGAAGCCAGCCTGGGCTACATAGTGAATTCCAGGCCAGCCTGAACTATGTAGAATGACCCTGTCTCAAAAAGATTAAAAAAAAACGTTTATAGTAGAGCTGCATTTATTTCTTAATTTAAAACAACACGAAGTACCTTCTTTTCAGTGTAATCTCTTGCACCAAACATGCGCATTTTTGAATAGTGTAAATTTCATTTGGGGACCATGTTATGATACATATGAAATGTGTTAGAATTTGCATCACTTCTGGTAAATACAGTCGGTGTCAGGGAGAAAAATTTCTCGTTTCAAATGTATTTCAGCTTGAATTTATTTTTGATCTTTTATAGTTCACTTATTTTTAGTAGATTATCACTGAAAAGATTGACAAACCAGTGAAAAGCCCCTTTAATTTTTGCTGCATGTAAACATCGATACTTCCTGAGCAGGTCATACTAAGGATTAGTAATGAAAAAGAACTGAATGGGTAGAACAGTTTATCATTAATTGAATAATAAATACAGTTGTTGGCAACATTGATGTTTTTCTCTTGTATCACCAGGGGGCACTCTTTTCTAGTATATTAGTTTTAACTCTGCGCAATTGAATTATTGTATTACAGTTTTGGAAAACTTGTGGCTTATTATCGATTTCCAGGAATGGTTACTTAAAAGCAATGCTTACTTTATTTTGTGACTTTTATTTTTATGTCTGATATTTCATGATAGTGTCATTACAGAAAGCACTACAAATATGTGCAAATTAAAAACTTCAGGCAATAATGTATCTGAAATAAAATATTGCCCCAATTTAGTGTCTTACGAGTTTTATCATGTCCCTGTTTGTCTTTATTCGTATTGAGGTTTCAGATCGAGTGGAGCGGAGGCTACAGGAGATAGAGAGAGAGATGCGCACAGAAAGAGAGCTGGTGGAAAGACGTCAGGATCAATTGGGACTGATGTCATTAAAGCTGCAGGAGGTTTGTAAGAGGCGCTTTCTTGGGATATAAACTTTGCATTTGGATAGTTACCTAATTGTTGTTTAAACAGTTGTAATTCCTTAGTTGTTGCACCTGACAGTATAATTTAACCTATGAAAGAAATAGTAGAGAACATTGATTAAATTTATTGTATAGAATCAGACCTATGTCATTTCATACTTGCTATCTTTGTGACCGTTTCCAAGGTTTTAAAGTTGTTTAGGTCCTGGTTTCCTTCGTGGAAAATGGATATAATGTATATGTAATCAGATTAGTGCAAGCATAAATGAGTTAAAGCTAGTCATTCACTTAACATAATGTCTGATGTGCTCAGAGAACATTGAAAATAAAATTACTATGCTTAATTATTTTTGGGCATGCACTAGACTGACAGCAGGTGATGGGGGGGGTCATCAAACTATGACTTATAGGCACAATCTGACTCATTGTTTAGGTAACTATAACTTTACTGGAAAACAAACATTCTTTTCTATTTACATATCCCTGGATACTTTTATGATGCAGTGGGAGTGTCGAGTAGGTATGACAGGAAACGTGTGGCAAGTTAAATGTGTACTAACAGTCTGGCCCTGTGCAGAAAAATTGTTCCAACTCCTGAATTAGTTTATCATTAAACTCAAAATGGAGAATGTTACCCTTCAAATAAGTACTATTTTTTTCTTTTAAATTTCAGATTTATGATAAAGTTTAAAACTAGAACAATTTTGTTCTGAGACATTTTTGAGACAGTTGCAGATGTAAATATTTTACATTTAAGTAATATTGTCATATATATTTTCATTCCTACTCACAGTGTAATAATCAAAATTATGAAGTCAGCATCAGTATGATAGTATGATGTAATCTACACGTTATTCAAATTTTGTCAGTAATGTTCTTTTCTGGCCCAGTATAAACATCTGGATTTAGACATGGCATTTAACGATTTCTCTTTAGTCCCCTTTAACCTGGAACATATTTTTAGATGTCATTTGTGATGACTTTGCAGGGTCCTAGCAATTTATTTTGTAGAATATGTTTCATGTTGAGTTTTTTGATGTTTCCTTAGGACTAGATTTAGGTCAGAGACTTTTGGCAGGAGACCAAGATTACTGTTGCTCAGTCTTTTCTAAAGTATCATATCAGGAGTCATGTAATGCTGATTGTCACATTACTGATGAAAACTGAACATTGGTTATAGTGTTGGCGGCCAGGTTTCTCTACTATAAAATTACTATTCTTTAAAATTTTTGTTTTATGAGGAGATTCTTTGAAACTTGAAAATACTGTTTCTTTTTAAAAATCATACTGTTACATATTGCTTTTACTATGTTTTGATTCTGCCTGAAACAGTTATTACTGTAAGTGAAACCAAGTAGTGATTTTAAAAATACATTTTTTCTTCTACATTTATGGACTTACATTAAGGAAGAACTTTATATTGATGTAGACTCAGGCATTCTAACTACACTGATTATATTTTATTATTTTCATCTTAGAAAATTAATTTGTTGAAATTTCTTGAACCTATATAGTATAAAAATTAGAAACAAAAAGAAAACCAAAAGGTTAAATACAACTGAAAAAAATTTTCTCTTTTAGTGTTTTTCTAAAATTTCTAAAAATATACTAATATATACTTTCAGATCATTAACATTTGTCAATCAATGATTTTTTTAAATATTAAGGGACACTGCCAATTCAAAATTAGGAACAAAAATTGCAACCCTGAAATTATATTGTGAGTTGAAAGAAAAATGTGCTTTCAGTTTTTAAAATTCCATTTTTCTCCATTTCACAAAAGGAGGTATACCCTTGTTAGTTGGTAATTACTTGCAAGAGGATATTTTGTTGAATAATTAGATACAGCATGTGGGCAGCCTTTTTTTTAACCTTGATTTTTATACATTTGTTCTCAAAGCAAATTGCATCTGGTGAGCATAAGAATAGTACTGAAAAGACAATTGTTCTTTTTTGCAAGAGAAAATTAGAGAAATTTTCTGTACTTTTTTCTCTCTTTGCAGAATGCACAAAATTACAAAGAAAGAGGGAAGGAAGAGAGCTTCCCACCCTATTCTTGAGAAACCAAAGCCTCAGTATTTGCATTGTAATTGTTAATTTGACTAAAAGCTAGAGCTGTGATTTGGAATTCCATCTCTGACATTATAATAGAGAATAGTTGTTGATGGGAAATGTTTCATTTCATATTTTTGTCATTTTAATATAAGCAATGACCTGTATGTTTTTAAAAGGTGGTTTTGGATTCTAAACAGTGCAGTGGAAAATGCGAAAGATTAATTTAGGCATTGTCCTGCTTCCAAGTTATTTATCTGGCTTATCTGAAAAGATCATGTTTAAGAAGGAGAAGATGCTTTGTTTTCTTTTTCGTATTAAAACCATAGAAATTCTTATACTATATGATAATATATATTTTGCTTCGTAATGTGGTAAGAAATGGAATCCATAAGTAAGTATGTAGGTGTAGACTTTTAGGGACTATGCTTTTTTGCCTCCTCTAGTTGATTACATATTGATAGTTGATTAACAATTTTACATATTGTTATCTTAGAAGTAGTTGTTCAAGTTACAAAATCAAGCATAAAAAATGAAGAGACAGTTCAACCATGACAGACTAGAGATGACTTCTTATTGTTATTTTTTTGAAATTCTGTATCATTTCTACCTTCTTTTTTGCTTTTTTAAATAAAAAGTTCTCTTTCTATTTCTATATATATTTCTATATATATATTATGTTAGTGAAAATTATGACACATGAAGGTTATTAAGAATTGTGAGAATTCGTTAGAAATTCCCCCATGCCAAGGCTGTAATGTTATATTACAGGGCACAGTTTGTGGTTTTGATTGAAACCTGCTGTTTCTTAGTGATCTGAAGAAGTTCTTAGATCCAGGGAATTTTAACTTGTTTCCGTTTCATTAAAAACATAATTAATCATTGGAAATTGGGTGGGAGAGAGCCACTGTCCTTTTTAAAAGTCTTTAAGGAATTGTTCACTCTTCTACGTTGCTTTCTTTTACTCTGAATACTGATCTGTAGAGCCACTGGGCACTGTGGTACCCATTTCTACAACGACTCTTAGTGCTAAAGTCAGACGAGTCCTGGATTTTAACTTAGAGGAGCTTCTCTAGCCATCATATCTCCTGCTTTATATTTTAAATACCTTGTTTTGATATCTTAGTAGGTCTCTTCTATAGGAGAGATGAGTTTTCTTTTTTATATATAGCTTGTAGAATAATATTCTTTTCAAATATCTTTTTAATTTGGAGTGATCATTCTAGTACTGTAACTTTTAAAAACCAAATTGAAATATTGTCAGTTTTCTTTTTTGAATCATTCTAGAAACAAAATTTCCTTAACATTAGGATATGTTTTTATAGAACAAGGTCCTTTTTATCCAGTGCCTCCTTGTAACTTGATGAACTATTTGTAGCGGAGTGGGACTGGGCCTGATAGGTGTTAGTCTTGGGAAGGAGATATACGAAGAAACACCTCCTTTTTTTGGAGCAGGTTCAAATTACATATAAAATCTTTTCATAGCTATACATTTTAGGGAATTTCTGACTGCTCTTTTTTTAAAAATTAGACATTTATGTTAATTGAATGTTGTTTCTTCATCTTCAGTTGAATTTGTTAAAATATAAAACTATGAGATTAATGCTGGATGTATACTGGAGAGCCCTGCAGTGGGCTCCAGTCTCCTGCTAGGAGTTATGGCACATGGCAAGAGAAAGAGCAAGAGATAAAGTAGGATGCAGCGGGGGCCGAGGATGTTCACAGGGATCCAAAGGCTGTGAGGTGCTCAGAACCTCGATATTTATTGATCATTGGGGAAAATGGCTACTCGATGTTCTGGAGAAGTGGAAGGCAGTCAAGGCTTGTCACACAGGGAACAAAGCATTCTTTTGAAACACATGGACTGACCAGATTTAGATTATGGTTACAGAGTAACCTGCTTTGGAGCCAATTCTGGGAAGGAATTTTCTTCTGGAGTCATGCAAGGCTCAGTGGAGATGTTATTTCATATCTCAGTCCCTGGTAGATGCTTGCTATCATGAAAGACATGTACAGAGCCTCACCCAGACCCACTAATTAAATTGAAAGCCGAGTTAGAGAATTCACTGCTATGCAGCCTTTGCTGCTTGCTAGGAAGCACAGTCACATTTGGCCCTAGGAGAGGGCCTCTGCAGGTATACATTTGTGTGTGCTTCTCAGAGTATTTCTGCTAATCCCTCCATTTATACACATCAAGGATATTCCTTGCTTACATATGACAGAGGGTAAGTCAGATACCTTAAACTTTAAAAGTAACCAGATGCTTGTAATCCCAGTACTCTCAGGGGCTGAGGCAAGATCACAAGTTTATGAGTCCCGCCTGGGTAACTTAGTGACTTAGCAAGACCCTGTCTCAAAATTGAAAAGAAAAAAACAAAAATAAAAATGTGAGGAAGATCTAGAGAAAACATTCCTAAAATTCATTTGGAACAGAAAAGGCCTAGTAAAGGCGATCCTGGGCAACAAAGGCAAGGCACGAGGTATCACAATCCTTGACTTGAAACTATATTACAAAGCCACTGTGATAAAATCAGCATTGTACTGACAAAGAAACAGACCTGAGGATCCTTGGAACAGGTTAGAAGATGTAGCTTTAACTGAAAACACATGCAGCCACTTACCTTTCTTTTAAGAAATTTTATTTAAACAGAAAAAAAAAAGCAAAACAGAAGAAGAAGGTAGTAATAATACAGAATTTAAAAAAAAACAGAAAGAAATCACTAGTTGATAAATTATATATTGTCATTTTAGAAATATTTGTTCAGGTTACAAAATTAAAGCATAAAAAGTGGATGTTCAAACAGTGAGAGTGCAAACAATTCTGTTCAACTATCCAACAAAAACTTAGTAATATGCTTATCTATCTTACACACTTCAACGTACATTCAGTTATATCCTTTAGAGCATTTTCTTTCCCTCTTTTTTAA